AGTCATACAATCCCAAGAATATTAATTCTGTCGACAACCTGAATGAGCTTGGAAACAGAATCTGCCCCAGTCAAGCCTCTAGATGAGAATGCAGCCCAGATAACACCTTGATCACAGCCTTGTGAAACCCTAAACAAATGACCCAGTTAAGCTGTGCCCAGACACCTGATCCATAGAAACTGTGAAATAATGTTTTCTTTATTTTTCAACATGCAACGGTTGTAGTAATTTGTTACACAGCAATAGAAAATTAATACATCTAATATGAGAGGTTCATCTTGACCCAGGTGAAGGTGGTGAGGATAACCTAGGGAAGCCAGGTACTATGACCACACACAGTTTCTCTTGACGCCATTCAATGACTGATAAAAGGCCTAGGGGAGGTAGTCTCAATAGAGTTGGGTGTTAAGTCAGTAGATGACTTCAGCTAGAGCAAATAGCACATTAGAGGATAAGACTAAAAAGATAATCTAGCGGGAAGTACAAGGTGTGATCAAAGAATACAGTGAATGCTGCTGCTGACTGCCATCCAACGGAAAGGCAGGGCTCTTCAATATGGGAAGCAGTGCATCGAATCTTAGTAACAGTGTGTGACAAGTTTCAACTTGTTCGGTCAGTCGGGTGTGAGCTACAGTTGAGAGGAGGTGTGTTTTAAAGTGTGCCATAAATCATGGATCACAAATAGCATATTAACATGAAATGGGCAAAGGGTTTCATCCTCCATCATGACAACGCTCTTGTGTCACACATCACTTCTGGTACAAACATTATGGTGTGTCCTCATCTACCTTATTCACAGGATCTGGCATCGTGCGACTTTTGGCTCTTCCCCAAAGTCAAAATAAGGTAAACGTTTTGAATCAATTCAGGACATTGAGGCAGCCACAACAGAGCAACTAAAAACACTGATGAAATAGGACTTCCACAGCTGCTTCAGAAAGTGGCAAGAATGAAGGGATAAGTGTGTTTGAAGAGAGGGGGAGTATTTTGAGGGGGATTAATGGCAACATGTCTTTTACTATAATAAATTTTTTACAATATTCACCATAGTTTTTATCACACCTTGTAGTTTCTACTCAATTTTTCTGTAAACATAAAACTGCTCTAAAAAATAAAGTCTATTAAAAAATTAAAGTAAAAAGTCTGAGGTCAAATCATGAAGGGTTCTATATGTCCCACTACTAAGTAAGCAATGCATAATCAATGTCTACATGTCTAAGGAGAGCTGACCTCATCTGACCTGTGCTTTAGAAAAATAATTCTAGTCACAGTGCAAAAAAGGTAAGTAAATAAGCCATTGTATTATTTCAAAGGAGTACCTGGATTAGAACAGGTTAGCAGGAATGAAAAGGACAGACAGGTAATATCTCCTAGATGTATATGTGATAGGATGTGGCAACTGATTAGATGTAAAAATAGGAAGTTGTTTGAGCCAAATAGGACTCTGGTATTTATAGCCAATGAAACTAAGAGGACAGAGGGAACAGTTACCATGAATTGAGACTAGAAACTAAGAAGATTCATTTCAGAAAGGACAGATAATGAGCTCCAAGAAAGACACGACAGTAAGAAGCAAAGGAGAAAAGATAAAAAAGAAATACACAGCAAGAAAAAATAAAGATAGGTATTACAGTACAGAAAATGCTTTCACAGTATTGAAGATAGGTAAACTACTAAATACAATTATAATCCAGTCAATTCCTGGAGCTAAAAGTTTTAATCATTTTCAAAAGAGAAACTGATATTTGAAATTATTTCCTTCAACATTTTCCTCTCTGCCTCTATTGTTACACATTAAAAAAAAAATACCCAAAGAGGTTAGGTGGTTTGCCCAAAGATACCAAATAATTAGTGGCAGGGCCTAGATTAGAATCCAGGTCTTACAACTCTCATGTCCTGAATTATCTTAGAGGCAGTTCTTACTTATATAAATCACTTATTTATGTCTGATATGGTCAGAAATGACCACACAGGCAAACTAGTACTTGGAATTGTCTTTGCTTGGTTCTTCTTTCTGCCAGAAGGTACAGATCTTACTGTACATATAACAAAAATGGTTTTTCTGTATATATGACATAAATCATACATGGCAACAACTAGCAGAATAGAAAAGGAACCAGGCAGCCTATCTCTGAAGAAAAACATATGACAGTAAATTAAGGTTGAGAAATGTCACTAATGATTTATATCATCAGTGCCACACTTCCCCCACACACATAGATATCTCTATCCCTCTACTTGAATACCCACCAGAAGAAATCCTGTCTGAAGCCGTGAATGCCATCACTCACAGCTGAAACTAGTGAAAATCAAACTGCAATAGGTATTTTCAACTGTAATTAATTTAAAAGGGAAACATTATCCATAAATACATACCAATTATCAAAGATGAACTAATTCTAGTAACTTATGCACTAAATTTTAGAGGGTAGGACAGGGAACCTACCTACCATGCTTGACATAATTTCAGTGGGAAAATGCATTTTGAGTTCAAACAAAACATTATTTCATAACTCAAGACTACCCTCCATTTTTATAGCACATCTCAATTCAGACGCACATTTTAAGTGCTCAATAGCCTTCCATTATACTACTAACAGACTTAGTCTATATTACAAGGTGTCTTGTGACAATTCCTTTTTCTGAGTTTATAATATAGAGTGAATTAAAATGTAAATTACTAAATTATTGAAATATTTAATTGTTGTCTTCCTTAAATGCCCTGAAATGTCGATTCAAACAAAACTAAATATAAAAGGGACCCTAATTTAAAAAAGAAAAAAAGAACAACAGGAACTTCCTACATCTTCGCAAGGCTATATATATGTACACTACTCTGCTGACAGCTCTTCCTACTTGACCTCAAGTAGCTCATCACACCCTTATGCAACAAGACAAAAGCTTCATTTTCACAAATATTTTTCTAAGACAAATATGAATACCACCAATCAACTAAAATAATATTTGGACCAAGTTCTAAGATATCACTTAAATCAATATCCAAGTACATCTAATCTGTTTTGGAAAACAGTCACAGTCATTTAAAACAAGACAAATTTCTCAAACCGTGCATATAACAAAGGACTTTTTAATTTTATTATTTCAGTTTTGTTTGTCATATAAAAACTGCATGGAAAATGCTAAGTACTCTCATAACAATTTTCCTGGTTCTGACGCTGTATCAGTGTTTCATTGTAAAGTGACTTGTCATCATTTATTGCCTACCTACCTACTTAAGACTACTTTCGGAAATCTTTTCCTTGACTGTAAGGTCTCATTTAGAACCACAATTTACATTTTACATTTTATTTTTCCTGGATATACCTTATGTAATTTTTTAAAAATCTCAATTAGGTGAGAAATTTTTCATATACCAGGACTATACCCTCTATTAACTTAGGCCTCTATCTCTAAAAATAGCACTAGCAAATGAAAAAGGCAAAAATCTTACAGAAAACAGATGAGGTAGTAAACCAGTTCTGCCACTTACAAGCTGGATGACCTTTGTCTCAAATTCTCTATCAGTAAAATGAGAATAAAAAGTACCCATTTTGAATGTTGGTATCGAATTCAGTAAGATAATATAGGTAAAGCACATGGTACAAGGTAGACAACTTGATGAAGAATACTATCAGGATAAGAAAAAGCTAAAGCTGCTACCGTCAAAAGGTTCAACGTATTTCTTGCTAGTAAAATCTTCTAAAAAATTATACGAAAACTATTTTATTCTTTACCAGCAAACTTTAAAAAGTCTTGTTGCCATCTCTGCCCCCAGATGACATTGCCATTTTTACATGTCAAAACTGTTCCGCTTATTGGCCATTCCACATGGTTCAATCTGAAATTTACTTGCTCAATAAACACTTTAGTTATTCTCAGCCTGGGTTGCAGTTGCTACATACAGCAAAGAGTGTTAAATAAGGGCTTTGAAATAACAAAGTGAAATTTAAAAGTTCATTCTTAATTTAATGCTTTTACTTTGTACAAAGCTCTTCTGAAAAAATTAAAAGTTAATATAATATATCTTGAAGAAATTTCCAAGTGAAAACTACATCTTTTTACATTATTTTCTAGACTATGGAAAACATATGAGTCCATCAGGAAGAGGTGATCAAGTAAGGATTATTATACTGATATTGTACATCCAAGCATACAACTGAAGAAGTTTAGTATCTTTAAGAGGATGACATTTCAAAAGTCAACTATGCTTAAAATGAGTGACCTCATGAGTATGATATTTAAAATAAAGACTCAAACACAGGAGACAAAATTATTTGCCCGAGAAATTTTGAGGGAGAATTAATCAACAGAACCTACCTCAATAGTTCTCAAACTGATTCAAAATGAAATCATCAAAAGGGATAAAACAAAAACCAACAAAACAAAACAGTACTCTAACTATAAGAGATTAGGATCCTAATGGATAGTGTAATAAAGCTCCATTGGTGCTTCTAATATTCATCCAGGGTAGAGAAACCCTGTTCTACAAAAATTGTTTTCCTCATACTCCTATATTTTATAAATCAAGACTAAATTTTGAAGGAAACAAAATGTTTCTAGGCCAGGTCAAGTTCCAGACGTCCTAGTCTACTATTCAGAGTAACCTAGTTCAAACGCCAATCATACAAATATTCCATACACAGGTCTCCTCTCATTACCCCACATTACCATGAAGACAACATGCATACCTAACAACATTTCCCTCTCCTATTTAAAATACTGCAGTAAGATTTACATGTTAGAGGGATTATTAGCAATTTAATTTGTAGAACATAAAAGAAAATTTGCAGTATTTCCCTAGAACAATCAAGGTAATTTTCAATTACTACTCATAGTCTGTTTAAAAAAATAAAAATTAACTTGCTAAATTCTAAATAAAATATTAATAGCTTGTTTTATGTAAGTTTAACCAATCAACTAAAAAGAAACCATAACAGATATAGGATTCCTATTTAATTTCATTTTAACATTAAAAGTAGTTGAATTAAGAATAGTCTTACTGTTCTAGAATCCGAGAATGGATTATATTCATCAAGTCCTGGTGGAACATTTCTTGTCACTTGTGTGACTGATGGGTCCTGGAATAAAATTCAAAGGAGAAAAAAAGATTACTTATCCTTTAAGACACAATTTTAATATTTATAAAGTATTTGCTTTATCTGTACATTTGGTCACCCAACAAAACTAACAGAGGAAAATAAAGATTATCATATTTACTCAGTCCCATTCCAACGAAATTGAAATTTAAACCCACAGCCCTCACACCCTTAAAGAAAAACAAATGAAAACTGGGTTAGATGCAAATCAGCAGCTATATAAAGACTGAAAGTAGAGAAAGTAGACCACCTCTTAATAGCTGTGGAACTGATTGCACAAGAGCATCTTAACAAATCTTAGGTAAACCCACTATCTTTTCCTTTGGGCTCCACAAAAAGTTTATGTTCCTCTTTTTTATATCTTCAATCAGTTTTCCCTACTGCAGATTTAAGTACCACATTACAAATCAATGTTGTGTACAGGCAACAACTAGAGCATTCAAGATTAAGTAACTCTTACTTGTTTTATTCTACTCCAGTATTTCCACTGACTGTAGTTTATTTTCCCACATGATCCTGGCCTGTCTCCCCTTTCCCAAGTATATTACCACACTATCCTAGCTTTTCAAAAGTTTTAATATTAGGCCTTCATATAAATAACTAAATCACAAAACCCTAGATAATCATTCTATTTCTTTGATTGTGAATATAAAACACAAATATAATGAACATCTCAACAAAATTAACTATATGAACAATGTGAAAAGCTTTTGCAAACTGTAATGTACCCTCACTAGTCTTCACAGCCTTAGTTTCAAACTTTGGCATGCAACAGAGTCAAATAAAGCAGATTGCTGCATCCCACGCCCAGTGTTTCTGATTCAACAGGTCTGGGGTAAGGCCTGAAAATCCGTATTTCTAACAAGTTCCCAGGCGATGCTGCTACTAGTCTGGGGACCACTGCTCTCTCGTCTATACAGTACCTTCTCCAATCCATCTTCCCCAACACAGTCATGCAAGTTACCTTTCCAAAATGAATAGCTAATCTTGTCATTCCCTTCCTCCTCTCACGTGTCTCTCATTCATTTCAGATATTTTAGAGGCTCTCCAATAACTATAAGATAAAATACAAATTCTTCAAAATGAGATGCAAGGCTCTGACCAGCCTAGCACCTGCCTACCATTCCAGCCTCATCAACTTCCTCATAACGACCCTCACCTTGCCAGATCCTTCTACCTTAACCATATGAAACAAGCTACTGCATAAAGAACCTCGAACTCGGCAAAAAGTAGTAAGAATAAATTAAAAGTACAGCACACACAAAAAATACAGGCTTTCAGTTTGCTCAACAATAAAATGGGAAGGAGGGAATGAAATCACTCTACTTCCCAGGGCTCATCTCCCAAGCTTACTAAAAATGTGAGGAGCAGGAAGATTATCATGAAGGGATGTGTACCTCAGGAGGACAATTAAGAAAACAGAATTAGGGCCGGCCGAGTGGCGTGATGGTTAAGAACTGGCTTGGGACGCCAGAGGGCCCTGGTTCGGATCCCACAAATGAGGGCCAGTGACACTGCCCTCCACAGCTAAGATGCTGAACAACAGCTCAACCTGGAGATGGGCTGCTGTGAGTCCCCAGCGACAGCTTAGTCTGCAGCCCCTGCTGCAGTGGGTTGCCATGAGCTACGGTGTGTGGCCTGCAGCCAGCGTGAGC